GCCCCCGTCCCCCCCCAGTCTCCCCGAAGCAGCCTCCGCTGCCCCCTCGGCTCCTTGGCGCATTTATAGGCTAACCTGCCCTTCTCCGAGCGCCGCTCGCTCCGGCGAGGGACTGTTAACTCCTCCCTGCCCGGGGCCGGGAGCAGCGGCGCTGCCAGATAAGCCAAGCATCCCCAAGCGCAGGGGGCGCGCCAGACAAGCCAAGCATCCCCAAGCGCAGGGGGCGCGCAGGATGCGGGGGAAGGAAGGAGCCATGGCACCAACTTGTCCCAGCGCTCTGCCCTCCCAGGCAGGCTACCTGGCTCTGGCACCTTATGGGGCCTCTACTTTACCTCCACCCTGTCGGTGCCAGCCTGGCGGCTTGGTCAGAGAAACCCCGCCCCAGGATCCTCAGGTTGCTCTTGGAGTCCTTGTGGTGAGCTCTCTGAAAACATCCACTCTGTGTGCAGCAGCTGTCCAAAAAAACTAACCCGATGTTAAGAATCCTTAAAAAAGGGATAGAGAATAAGAGAGAGAATATCTGATCGCCTCTATATAGAACCATGGGACGCCCACATCTTGAATCCTGTGTGCAGATGTGGTCTCCTCATCTCAAAAAAAGATCTCTCAGCATTGGAAAAAGTTCAGAAAAGGGCCATAAAAATGATGAGAGGTTTGGACTGGGTGCCATATGAAACGAGATTAAAAAGACTGGGAACTTTTCAGCTTAGAAAAGAGGAGACTGGGGGGATATGACAGAGGTCTATGAAAGCGTGACAGGTATGGAGAAAGTGAATAAGGAAAAGTTGTGTATTTGTTCCCATAAGGTAAGAACTAGGGGCCACCCAATGAAATGAATGGGTAGCAGGTTTAAAACCAACACAAGGACGTTTTTCTAAATGTGGGCACAGTCAACCTGTGGAACTCCTTGCCAGGGGATGTTGTGAAGACCAGGACATTAACAGGATTCAAAAAAGAACCAGCCAAATTCATGCAGATTAGGTCCATCAATGCTTATTAGCCAGGATGGGTAGGGATGGTGTACCTGGCCTCTGTTTGCCAGAGGCTGGGAATGGGCGACAGAGGAGGGATCACATGATGATTCCTGTTCTGTTCCCTCCCTCTGGAGTATCTGGCATTGGCCACTGTCAGCAGACAGGACACTGGGCTAGATGGACCTTTGGTCTGACCCAATATGGCTGCTCTTGTTCTCTTCCACCAGTTTCTCCCTCTCTCTGCTCTTCTAGCCAGGGCCAACTTCCACACCACACTGCCAAAGCAGGCTTCCCCCTCCCTCCCCCCCAGCACTGTGCCAGAGTCTCCCTCCGCCAGGTTTTCTAGACCTTTCATCAGTTTAGTTGCTTTTCTCTGGACTTTCTCCAACTTCTCCACCTCTTTCCTGAAATGTGCTGCCCAGAACTGGACACACAACTCCAGCTGAAGCCTAATCAGCGCAGCATAGAGCGGAAGAATCGCCTCTCGTGTCTTGCTCACAACACTGCTGTGAATGCCACCCGGAATGATGTTTGCTCCCCCCCCCCCAACAGTGTCACACTCTGACTCAGACTTAGCTTGTGATCCACGAGGAGCCCCTCCCCCCATCCCTTTCTGAACGTCCAGCATTGAACCATTTCTCCTGCGTTTTGGGGGTCCCGTCACCGTGGCCACCCTCTGCAGACCCTCGCTGAAGGTGATGGAGCTTCAGGGCCTTCCACCAGGGTGGAGTTTGGCCCTCTGGCTCACAGGCAGAGGGAACAATCCCAAAGCAGGATCGATGTGCAGAAAGGACCCTGCCCGCTTGGCTGCCCTCTGGCTTTGGGGTCGGCCACCTCCGGGAAATAGGGTCCCCTCTTCTGGATCCCTGCCACGTGGCCTTTGTTAGGCAGACATTCTGTGTGGTGGAAGGGCTGGAGATAGGGCCACTGGAGGCCTGCCCCACTCCCTCTTCCATGCCCAAGCCGGTAAGAGTGAATGCAGCCTCGACCTCGGCTCTGCACAATGGGAACTTGCCCATCGGGATCTAGGGACATCTGCCCCTCAAACAGCCCCCAGAGCCCATGGACCTTGTGGCTAGAACCTCCCTTCGTTCTGGTGTTGGTGGGGGACACGGACGACCCCCGTTCTCCTCTCAGACCATTCTGGGATGGCCCCGGAAGGGAATCTTTTTGAAGAACAGAGAATTCCTCCCCTCCCCCCCTACTTCAAGAGTCCCTCCCTCGGGAAGGGGCAGGCTGGTCTCTCACGCTGAACTTCTCTTGCCTGGCCTTTCAGAAAGGGAGGAACGAAAGTGGCTGTCCACCCCCACCCCAAGCCCATTTTCAACACGCTGGGGGGATGGAAAGGGGGGGTACTTTGATTTTTTCCTAGCAAGACCATCTCCTTCAGCCCCCTCTGCCCCCGCCCCATGTGACTCATTCAGACCTGACTCTGATACAATTCAGTGTCTCCTCTCTGTACCGGGAAGCGCTGGCTACATGAATCATAGAACCATAGAGCTGGAAGAGACCTTAGAAGGCCATCAAGTCCAGCCCCCTGCTCTAGGCAGGACCAATCCCGACTAAATCAACCCAGCCAGGGCTTTGTCAAGCCGAGACTTAAACACCTCTAGGGATGGAGACTCCACTACTTCCCTAGGGAACCAGCCCAGCGCTTCATCACCCTCCTAGTGAAATTGTTTTTCCTAATATCCAACCTGGACCTCTCCCACCGCAACTTGAGCCCATTGCTCCTTGTTCTGTCATCTGTCACTACTGAGAACAGCCTCTCTCCATCCTCTTTGGAACCTCCCTTCAGGAAGTTGAAGGCTGCTCTCAAATCTCCCCTCACTCTTCTCTTCTGCAGACTAAACAGACCCAACTCCCTCAGCCTTTCCTCGTAGGTCATATGCTCCAGCCCCTAATCATTTTGGTTGCCCTCCGCTGGTGGGGTTTTTGGGTTTTGCTTGTGCAGAGCGAGAGATCAAACTATGGATACGATGCGGGTCCCAAAGGTCACAAGCTGTTGAGTTTTGCCAGTGGGGTGTGTGGAGACCCCCTAAATCTTTGGGGGACCCAAACTGAGAAAAGTACTTGAGAAAACGTCCCCTCCTTCCTGCACAGATGTGTAAACACAGGAACCTAGCCTGAGAACGCCTATACCCGGCACACCTTCTGCTTTATAACTTGCCGCTTGTCAGGGCTACTCTACCGTCGGAATGGGGAGGCGGGTGGCTTTGAAATTTGGTGTGCTTCATGGGGATGTGCCGTAGGGTTGGCTTGCCAACTTGGGGCTTATTTGACTGAGGGGTTCCCAAGTTACAGTCCATCCCCCCACAACTGCTTTCCGTCTGTTGCCATGTACTGGTACAGTGAGGCACTGGTGAGTGGATGAGACCCAAACCGCCTTGAGGTGTCTGGCTGCGAATTCATGCTTCTGTTAACGTAGCTACAGGTACATTGATCCCAACCCCCCTCCCGTATCCAAGACAAACGACGTTTGGGAGGGAGTGGCTGGGGAATGCTGCCATTGGTGAGTCAGGCTTGGCCATTTTATTTCGGGGGGGGGGGATGTAATCTGTGGCTTTGGGTGGAAAATGTAGACACATGGCTTCTTCCCAGTGGGGCAGAGGGATCGGGGGAGGCAAAGGTATCAGGGGGAGATAGGGGTTGGGGTGAAGGCCGCAGGGCGGGGGCAGGGTTATGGGGAGGGGGATACATGGGGAAGAGTAGCAAAGGAAGGGAGTGGGGGCTGAGGTGAGGGAGTGGATGGAGGGGCATTGGGAATGGGTGATTGGCAGACTAACCTGGGGGGGTAGAGGCAGGGGCACCTCCCAGCCCCACACTCTGCCCTCCTGTGCGTGTGCTCACCCCCGGGGGGGACTGTTCCCCCTGGTGGCGATTCTGAGCTGACATCCGTGCCCTGCCCCCCCTCATGTGACCCAGTTTCTGGGAAGTCCTGCCCCTTTGGGTGGGGAGCTGAGAACTGGCACGCCTCAGCCATGCCACAGGCTCTAGAGCGCTCCGGAGGGGGCTGGGCACTGGGTGGAGCCGTTCGTAAGTCTCAGCGTCGCTGTTCCTGGCGGTCGCGTCCCCCGGGGGTGTTCTCCTGTAGCTGAGGCAATCCCATGGGGCTGCAGGGCCGGCTCACGCCACCCCAAACCTGTTGTGCTGCCTAGGGGCGCAGCGAGGAGCCCTTCCCCCCTCGTCCTGCTGGTCTGCCTGCTTGTGGTGACCCACATCTGAGCCAGGCCTTCTGGACAGGGAAGCCCCCAAAAAACAGCCGTTTGCGGGAATCCGGGAAGCGCATCAGGCGGGTTTGGTTTTCACGGCACCAGAGACCTTACTCCTGCTGCAGTGTGGGCCCAGATGGTCTTCCTCCGTCCATGCAGACCTGCCCTGGCCGGGCCCGGCACCCACTAACTCCACAGGGGGCCCCACAGGAGCCTGGGGTGGGAGTTCACCTTCCCGTCCTCGCAGTCTGCCGGGGCTCTGGTGCACGTCTCTGCACACGCTTCCTGGCTGGCTTGAGGGACACCCCCCAACGCCACTGCGGATGTTTCCAGTCCAACCCTTTGGTTGCCGTTGCGATAGAGGGAATAACGCGCTTCGGTGGTGACCAATGGTCACTGACAGGATGGAAGGCCGGGAGGGGCCGCCTAGGCTAGTGAGTGGCCGCACGAATGTCCCTCCTTCACCTCAACGGGCCGCACGATTGTCAGAGCCAAGCCGGTCTCCTGGGACGGGGCAGTTTTGCTTCCCTGCGCTGGCGTCCCTACAATGTGTGGGATTGGCCGACGGCGCCACAGCAGTGCTGGGATGGGTCGCACGGGGCGCGCCCGGCTCTCACGTCACATGCCCTGGCTTTGCAGGCAGGTCACGGTAGTAACCATGGTAGGAAAAGCCCAACCTGGGCAGAGAGCGGAGGAATCTGGCAGCCCTGCGAAAAGGTCACAAAACGCCTCAGGAGCCAGGCACGGAACCCTACCCCGGGTGTGTAGCTCTGCTTCCTCCGGAGAGGAGCTAGTTCACATAGAAGGGAAAAACCAGCCAGCGCGATGAGCAGACACTGACCTGGGAAAGAGCCATTCGAGCGGGAATGGAGCCTTTTCACAGGCATTTGCCAGCTCCAAGCCTATTTCTGATTTTATGGGGGGAGTTGACAGGATCTTGGCTCACAATTTGCTTTCACCGATTTCATTAGTGTGTTGCTGAAGATAATAAAATCGCACCTCTAACAAAAATCGTCATTCCCCATCCTGGGCTGCCATCGGGCATGGGGCGCTAGTTTACCAGTACAGTACTGTCTAGGGCCCCATAAGCCCGATGGACGGCGCTGGGTGAGTGAAATGAAAGGGGAGTCTTGTCTGAAATTGCTCATTTCCTGGAAAATCGCTCTGCTCTGAAGTGGGGGTTTGCCAAGGGCGTGAGTCCTGGCCACTCCCCTCGTACAACTGGGACCTCTCCGGCCCATCGCTAGGAAGACATGCAGGGAAGCTGGAGTTTTGTTCCTGAGCCTAGGGCAGGCTGCTCCCAACTCCCCTGCCCTCATTGTCTTGGATCTAAAGCCGGGGCCCAAATCCGTGGATCCAAAGACCTCCAGACCTGGAGGGTGTTTGAATCTGAAACAGTGCCCGCGCCAACATTTGCAGGGGGCCTCTTGTCTTTTAGAAAGGGGTGAATTAAGAGACAGACGCTGATGGCACCTGGAATGTAGGGCATCCAGCTCCGAATTGTGCACCCCATGCCTCTCTCTCTGCAGAGCCGGGCAGCTGCCTGCCGTTGACAAAGAAGCCCCAGTTCATTTTCCACTAAAATAATAATAATAAAACCCTCCTCTCTTTTTAATTGCGTTCAGAAACCAAGCACACAACCAAAGATGAAAAACTCCCAGAGAAACCATCCGTTCCGCGAGCCAGGCGAACCCCCTCGGAAATCCTCGTTCCATCGCTGTGTCTCTCTGGGAGGGGACCTGGGAGGGACCAGTGCACAGTCTCCTCCCCGGCTGTGGTGTGTATATTCACAGCTGCACAAATACACACGGACACACACACACGCACAGGACTTGCATTCATATGTCTGTGGTTCATTGCACATCAGGAGCTGCTGTCAGCAGGCCTTTCGGAGACAGGAGTCCCTGGGCCCGAGAACCCCAAGGTCCCGTCTGTACCCACAAGCCCTCATTTGATGACAGCGGAGCCGTGTCCCCCAGCAGGAGGGCTGCTGTAGATGTGGGTGGACAACGGGTAATACTTGCGGTGCACATGGAGCCTGGCAGATTTCCAGATGGGAAGGGACGGAAGTAACTGTCCAATCAAACACCTGCTCTGAATTCTGGGCCTGTCTGGATATCTTGTGCCTTCTCCTTCCAGCTACCTGTGATAGCTGCTAGAACTAGGGGTGTGCTGTAGAACTCCCTTGCCTGAGATGGTTTCCATGATATACAGGCTTTCCAGCTGGATTCAGGAGCTCTCAGCACCCCATTATAAGAACTGTTCCAGCCCCTGAGGTAGGTAAGAGAGGCAGAATTCTTTGCTCCGTGTCTCCTCAGAAAGGAACCTTTCTCTGGGCTCTTTACGGCTGCAGGGAGACCAGCCCAGACATGAACTAACGTAACAGTTAGATTCCTGCGTCTTGCTCACGGCCACGAGAGGCGCCAGCCCGGAGGATGGACGGCACGGTGGGGCGGGCTGTCGTCAAAATTCTGCTCAGAGAAGGATTAGCCCACCATTAGTCCTTGGAGCCAGGCGCAAGAGAATCCTCGCTGCCCCTCATCAGAGGCATGGCTCATGTCTCCCTGGGTTACAGTGAGTAACCAATCCAGGCCCACCTTCTGCTACCCTGGCAACGGATTGTCCCAAAGTTCTGTGGTCCTCTCTCCCCATCCCAGGCTCCGGCCCGGGGCAGGGTGACGTGGTGCCTTCATGGCTGACTGCTGGAGCCAGGGGAACTTCCTTTGTGGCACTTGCTTTTGTGGTTCGTGCTCAGCGGAGAGCCATTCCCTGGAGCACAGCAGGGGCGCCGAACAGGACGCCGGGAGAAGGGTCCGTGGTGTATTACAGCCCGGCTGTGCGCAGGGAAGCTGTTCATGGGAGAGTTGTCCGTCCCAGCCGGGAGGGGAGCAAACCCCGGTTACGTCTCCCTCTGGACACGTTCCAGTCACAGCTCGAGCGGCTGCCTTCTTGTTCCAAGCACGCGCCCCCATTAAAACATCACCTCCTCGCAGCTCCCATAGTCACTTTCCACCATGTCCGAGCCCTCGTAGTTTGGGGGTGGGGCAGGCTGGGCCCTGAGGCCAGGCTCGCAGTCCGCGTAGGACGGCTGGGCCACGCTGAGACGCATGCTCACCCGTTTGCAGCCGGCGTCCGGGGGGCAGGGGGTCCCCTCGCTCTGCAGCAGCTGGGCAGGGTAGTAGCTGATGGCCGTGTATTCGTTCTGGCACTGAGAGGCCGGCAGGTCCACGGGGCCGGCTGGCAGGAAGTCCTCCAAGTTCTGGTTGCTGTAGCGTGGAGGGATGGGGGCCCGTTTGTTGCTTTGGTCCAGCGGGAAGGGAAAGCCACCGTAAAGCCCAGCTGGTTCGGAGTCTACGTGGGGGGGAGGAGGCAAGGGAGGGCCTTGAATGATGTCGTAGAGGGGATGGTCTTGCACGTCCGATGGTCGGTACCTGGGCGGCCAGTAGGTGGTTTCTGCTGGGTAGACTGGAATGAAATCAGAACCAGGTTAACAGCTGTCTACAGCCAGGCTTCCCTAGGGTCAGAGCAAGCAGGGCAGGAAGGGGCCTCGAGGACATCTCACTGACCCCTGGCCAGAGGCAGAATCAAGTATACTATGTGTACACCTAGCCACCCAAGAGCTCTTCCTCCCTTCTTCCTCCCTACCCCTTGCCCTCCCTCGCCAGCCATCCAAACCTGGGTATAGAGCAGAGAAAGGAAGAGAGAACAAGTAGAAAAGAGGGGTGTAGCAAGTCGGGAGTGAGGGGTGTTGGCAGAGCAGTAGGGGGGAGAGGGGG